CTTGTCTGTGTGTGCCGCGCAGGGGCTGCGTTCTGCACCATGTACCCCAGGATGAAGACCCTCGTGCTTTACACCTTCTCAGTCACACTGCTGGCGTGTTTTCTTTACTTGAAGAAAGAGGCAAAGCTGTCAGCATCGCCAGCGCACCAGAACGTGGATGTAGCAACTCCCAACCCCCAGTCTGTGGTTCTGGACAATGCTGAACCCAGTGAGTGTTTGCCAAACCTGGCCCTCGCCAATTCTTCTCTCACCCTCCCGGAGTTTCACCGCGTCTTCTTAACATACAAGCACTGTCGGAACTTCTCAGTCCTGCGGAAGCCTTCCAGGTGTAGCAAAGAGGTGTTCCTCTTGCTGGCCATCAAGTCTTCCCCGATCAACGTGGACCGGCGGGGTGCAATCAGGAACACGTGGGGGAAGGAGGTCTCCATCGGTGGCAAGCGTGTCAGGCTGGTGTTCCTTCTCGGGCTCTCGGAGGCTAAAAGCCAGGTACAGCCCTTGCACCAGCTGCTGGCTTATGAGAGCCAGGAGTTTGATGACATCTTGCAGTGGGATTTTGTTGACAACTTCTACAACTTGACCCTTAAGGAGCTGCATTTCCTGCGCTGGTTCACGGAGGACTGCCTGCATGCCAGGTTTGTGCTGAAGGGCGACGATGATGTCTTTGTTAACACTTACAACATTGTTGAGTTCCTCCACGAACGGGACCCTGAACGGGATCTCTTTGTTGGGGATGTAATTGCCAACGCCCGGCCCATCAGGAACAGCAAGGTCAAATACTTTATTCCAGAGTCCATGTACACAGCCAAATTTTATCCTCTCTATGCGGGTGGAGGGGGCTATGTCATGTCTAGACAGACAGTGCGCCGCCTCCAGAGCACCGCAGAGGACATGGAGCTCTTCCCAATAGATGATGTCTTTGTGGGAATGTGCCTGGCAAAGATGGCAGTGACCCCAAAGAACCATGCTGGCTTTAAGACTTTTGGGATCCAGAGACCTTTCAATCCTTTTGATCCATGCTTGTACAAAGGCCTGATGGTTGTGCACAGACTAAACCCAACTGAGATGTGGATCATGTGGACGCTGGTAAAGGACAACAGCATCAGGTGCGCAGTGTCCGTAACACACAGCTATGGAAGGGGTTGGAAATGAAGCTACTGACAAGCACAGCAGGATTGTGACTGGTGACAGATACAGGGTACTTAAACTAAAAATCAGGTTGTGGTAGAGACGTGTCCTTGACTAACAGACTGTGCCTGAGCCATGGGGTTTGTGTGCAGGAAGTTGTCTTCTGTCAGTGGGTTACGGCAGCAGTTGAATTGTCACATGGTGGGGATGGGGCCGGTAGTTTGGTGGGACATGGAGCAGGGGCTCAGCTTGGTTCCTCTCAGCCATGCTGGAGCTGGGGAAAGCCACAACTTCCACAGGGACGTGAATGAGCGGCCACCTGCTATGGAGTTTCCCCAACACCAGTGGCTGGCCACAGATCAGCTTCCTGTAGGGAAGCTCATGATGACTAATGAGTGACACGGCACTTCAAATCACTTGACGGAGTGGAAGAAAGGTCGGTGTGTGCTGCTGGGTCTGCTGCTGTCCCAGGCCAGCAATCCCACAGGTCCTGCGGAACAGGAGAAAGGGAGTGGAGTGGGGAAGAAAAAGCCTTAGAAACGTATTACACAGCAGGGTGATCCAAGGCCCTCTCTGGGCTCCCACTCAAGCCTTTTGGATTGTAGAGAAGTTGATTTTCACTTGCACTGGAAGCTTTTGCACAAACACTTTCTGATCTGATTGAGCTTGAGAGGAGTAATATGTTGTGAATAATCACAGTGGTAGGTAGAGTGGCTGTAGCTTTTCATGTGGTGTGGGAGGTGTATTTGTGGTGGTGTAATGGTGGGTATAAATAAAATCCAGTTTTGAAAAGTGTTTTCACGGGAGTGTTCCTGGGTCTCCTGAAAGGTAGGAGCCCCAAAAGCCACAGAGGGCTGAGATCTCGTGCTGGGTGTTTGCATTAAGGAGTCATTGCTACTGAAGAGGGATAAGGTTCTGTGGAAATGGATACTTGCCACTTCCTTTCCTGTGAGCAGCTGCCCTGTTGAAAGAGGAGTGATTGACCTGTGAGTGTGCTGGAATTGCTGATGTGAGGAAAGATCAAATATGAAACTAAGATTTGGTGATACTTCTGTGACGTTTATTGCCTTGAAGGGTGTGTAGCTGCTGGATCTGAAGTTGCTGTGCTGTGTATGAGCAGGAAGCAGCCTGGACTTTGAGCAACCTGGTATAATGGAAGGTGTCTGCGGCAGGGACTGGATGACCTTTAAGGTCCCTTCCAGCTCACACCAGTGGGTGATTCTGTGATAAAGGTAGCAGGTAGAGAGGAAGTGTGTGATTACCCAAATCGGAGCAATTTGTGTTGTGCTGTTGTCATTGCTGTCTCTGTGCCTGCTGCCCCACATTCACTGCCCGCTGGACGCGAGCTGGAGCTTTCGGAGGTGCCTGGGAAGTGCTTCCAGGTCCTTGCTTGTGCTACACAGAGACTGAGGGTGTGCTCTTGGGGCAGGCTGCCCGTGCTGCCTTCTGGAAGGGCCATCTGATGCTGTGTGACCTTGGGATGAGGGACTCCCGGCAGTTCTTGCTGCTTTGGCTTTCTAAAGCACTGGGTATAGTTCTGGCTTAGCCCTGTGGCATGACCCAGCCTCCCACGGCAGGAGTTGCCACTCTCACACAAGCTGTTTCTGTGCCAGATGTGAGTGTTCACCTGAAAATGCTCTTCCAAGGGGTGAGCCTGTGTGTGTCCATCCTCTGTGTGGTCTGGCACAAGCTGCTGCCATGTCTGCTCACTGCAGCCCTAACAGGGATTAGCAGCTGTATTAGCTGTACCTGAGAAATTTGCTACATGTAGCTTCAGATGATGTTGGCTTTGTAAACAAGGCTGAGTATCAGCAGCAAACCGGTGTTTCTGGGCACTGTTGCTTGTTCCAGAGAAGAGGCTGGGCAGAGCAGGAACCATGGTACCCTGCAACCTGCTGCAGCAGCAGCTTTCTGATCCACTCACCAATTCCAAATGCAAACTCAGTAACAGAACGTAGAGCATGATGTCATGTCTGTTGTGGGCTAACCCCCAACAACAGGCAACTCTCACTTCCTAATAAAGCATGGGACTCTTTCCACTCCAGTTTGGAGGCGACAGGGAGCCACTCATGCTTCTCAGGCCCATTTTGTCTTGACTGAACTGATTCCTGTCACGTCTGAAGGTCTGGTGTGTGTAGGTACAGCCTGTGTCTTGGGCAGCAAGAGCGAGGCATACAGGCAAGCAAGTGGGGCAACAGGGGGCTGGGAACAGGCTCTGAAAGGGAGAGAGTTGCTTTGCAGACTCCTGTAGCAGAACCCATCTGTACTAAGCCATATCTGTGCCATGCAAGCATCTGTGTAGTTACTGTGGCATCCTGAAACAACCACAACTTGTACGTGCATTTGGGTCAGTGGCTTGGCAGCCATTCTTCGACAGCAGCATGTCACAAATGGGAGCAGTTGTGGTGAGAGGCTGAGCTGGAGTTGCCTTTGGCTCTTGAGAGTGTGTGTGGTTGTGCCCCTGCTGCAAATAATCCTCTCCTGATAGTGGGCTTTTTTGTAATGCCCCAGCCCAAAGCTGTGTTTGGGTCCTCCTGACTACCAGCACAGCAGACACCTGCATCTTCTTCTGAGCTTGCAATCCGGACTGTGCCATCCGCCTTGGATACAGCAGCATCCAGTAAGGAAGCAGGAACAAGGAAAGGTGGTTTTTTAATTCCTTTACTACTTAATCTATAAATGCACAGCGTTGTGCAACTGAGACTGCGTTTGTTCAAAGGGCAGGCAAAATGAGACACGTATAGAAAGGCTTATGCTAAAGCTGGAAAGATCCCAGTTTAGTAACAGCAACCTCAACACAGGTATAGTGCACCGCATGCTAATTCCTGGTGAAAAACCTGATTAACGTGTGTTTTCTTACAAAACCTGGTGAACAGGGATTAACTGACTCAAATCAGCAGTGATAAAGTCCTAGTGGATGCTATCCCACAAAGTCATCTCAGCTCTAAGCTTCCCTTATCTATACAGTTAATATTGCAGATTTCACACTCAGCTGTCAGGTTAGGAAACGAGCACAGTGAAAGGCACCCATGGTTTTGAAACCTGCACTGAAACGTTAGGCTTGCAAAAAGAAAGAATTAACATTATTTTCCTGAAACTTGTGCTGGAAAGCACTGAACCACGTAAAACTGGCTTTTGCTCGCTGCTCTGTGAAGAAGTGCACAGCAGTTGCCACAACGACTTTGTTTATAACCACAGGGTCTTGAAAATGAACTCTCCCTTTGCTTCCTGGGGAAGGCAGCTGCGTTCCAAGTGGTGACTCCTGGGTGGAAGCAGCTGCTGCACTGAGCTGCAGAACTTCACTAAGAGCAACCTGGGGAACTCCACAGCTCTGCAGCAACTGTTGCCCCTGACTGCAATTAGTGTAATTTAATGCAGCTGTCACTCATCTCTGTTCCAGTTCCAACAGAAAACCGTGCTTAATGTCTTATCCAAGTAGGCACACTCACAACAAGCTGCTTTTGCACAGTTTAATGAAGGTAAGTCCTAACAGACATCATTCACTTCACAAGTTAAAAATAGTGACTTTCAAATACATCTTTGGCTGATACCTAGTTAGCCTCTAAGTTAAGAGAGCTGTCACAGACATGAGTGGTAGAACCCTCCCAGCAGAGAGACTATTAACAACCAGCTATCCTTGATAGCCATTTTCACATTTGCATAGTTAAACATTTAAATAATTGAATCCATGAGTATTACAAACATGGTAAGTTACCAACAAGATCGAGATGCTTGGAACTGACCTGATCTGTAAAGCAATCCTGTTTGAAAAATGGAATCATAGGCTTATTTCAGCAGTTTCCCACTATCCCACACTGAAAATTTGGGACCCTTCAATCTGTGATTGACTCTCACATGTTCCAAGGTGACATCTGAGTTCTTTTCAGTCTTCCCGCAGGTAAGGGTCCTCACCTGCCTCTGAGCTTCCTAAAATACCCTCTGGCAGTGAAGAATCCTCTCCTTGAGCTTTGATGAGCTCTTCTGTTTGAACCTCAGCTAATTTGGTCTCTGCTTTCTGGGACAGCAGTCGCACTTCTTGTACCTGTGATCTCACCAGCTGAATGTGGCTGCGGGCTGACACCGAGGCTTGGTCTGCACCTGAGGTCATGATTTAAACACAGGGGTTAGAGGAGCACTCAGCAAACCTTCAATTAAGGTACCCACTGTCTATAATTATCATCTGCTTTGCTAAGTGTTTTGATGGCTTTTGGGCTCTATTAATGCATTTTGCTGTTCATTTACCTCAAACAGCAATTATTTGCCTACTTTGAGATTCTTTTTTGCCCCCCTTGAACTCTTCCCACCCAAGTGGGTTACAGGCACTGTCTGATCAGAGGGATCAGCTTGTGGCAGTGAGTTGTAGAACTAAGCCCAGCCACTGCGTGCCAGGAACTTGCAGTCCTTCTCTTGGCACCTACCAGCAGTGAGAATATCTGTGGCATTACTGAGTTCAGAATCCCTTCTCCTCCTGACAGACTCTGCGTGTTTTTTAGGCCCTTGCAGTGTCAGGGTGTCCCAATATGTTCATTGCTTTTCTCCCCGTCTCCACTTCCGTAACTTTGCTGATTTACCACAAGTCAACCCATAATTCAATCTTGGAGCTATCAAGTCCTAAACTTTTTCTGAAAGTGTGTATCCAGGGAGAAAAGACCAAAATGAATCTCTTCCCTGAGTAAAAGGCAAATATTCCCACTCTTTAGTAAAAGTGAGTCCAGCTGGAGAGACCTGCTGGACCCCCCTTGGTAGCCTTACTTCTGTGGCTATGTTTGAACACTGCATTTAGAAATGACTAAATGCTTCCTTAAAACCTTTTTCTGGCATGTTTGGTCTTGATCTAAACCACATGTGAAGTTTCCAGGCCTAGTTCTCAAAACACTTCTACTAGATCTGTAGCCAGTAAAATAACAGAAGTTCTCAGCATCTCTGAAAACCAGGCATTAGGTACAAATTGCTGTGTGAACTGAATGGATGTTCTGGGTCTCTTGACTCTGTTCTCATGCAATAAATGCTGCCCAAATGTGAAGGGAAAGACATCCTCAGTGTTACCTGACTGATACGCAGCTTCTGCTGCCATCTCTGACAGACGTACTGCTGTCATCCAGCTGGATTCCAGCCTTAGGTATTCCTCCTGTTTTGTTCTCACCTAGGAGTAAAACAAAGTATTACTTAACCAGATGTAGCAGTATCTGAATGCTCTTCCAAGCAGTGAAAACGTGAGCCGGCGAGCGAGTTTCTGAGCAGAGTTTTAAGGGGCAGACTTGAAGGGAGACAATTGCTTACATCCACTCTGGCTCCTATCACCACCTGCCAGACTGCATCCACCTCTTCTGAATTCATCTTCCCAAGAAGGCTTGCATATTGCTTGTAGAGAGACACCAGTGTATAAACTGCCTGCAAAAGAATCATTTCAGTTACCTGATGATCTGTGCATCTCTGATGTTGTCTCTGTGTTAACTGGTGTTCGTTAGTACAGTTGCTGAATGGTTCCAAAGGTGCTTTGTTCTCAAGTTCACTGCAGTTCTGGGGGCACTGACAGCATTTGCTCTCTGCCTACAGCACTGCTGTGCACATCTCTTTATGTGCTTGCCATACTAATGAGGAGGTAAACTGGATTGCAAGTATTTTACTCAAATTGGCACTTACAAAACTAAAACCCTGTCTTGTTTCAGACTTAAATATGGCTCACTCAATTCTTCTGATGAAACTCAAGTTCATGGTGTTAAAAATGGGCAGAGAAGGCAAATAAAATACCTAAGCACACAGGGTGGTGCATCCTGCTTACTCAGTATGCAGGTATCCAATACCTGTTCCGAGTTTCTTTAGCCCCAGTTCCGAGACATGGGGCATTTTGGCTTAAGTTCAAGCTCAAAGCAACCATCTAACAAAGCTAAAGATAACTTCTGTGTGTGGTGTAGCAGCCCAGCCCTACCCCACTATTTCCTGGAGACCTGACATCTGCAACCCCCCACACCCCGTATTAAAAATAATAAAAAAGCCAAAGTCCATTCCAAGAATGGTTTAACAGAGGTAGTTAGAGCAAACAGTTTCCTGTTTCCAGTGCTGACGTGCTAGCACTGTACACGACCCTCAGCTTACCTTTGTGTACTCTGTGAGTGCTTCAATCAGCGCATATGTTGTTTGAGAGAGGAGTGTAGAAGTGCTGTCTGTGACCAAGGAAACTGCTCTTTTAATCAAGGCATCATTGCTGAGAGAAATCACGTTTTGCTGCTGAAAGACAAAGGCATCTGCATGAGCTTTACCCTGACTTTCATATGGATGCAATAAATAGTGGTAAGGAAAAGCACCACTGTAAGTTACGAGCTTGGACAGCCTAATTCTCGCTACTGTTTTTCCACTGTAAAACAAGGCAACTGTTGTGACAAGGTGTTACTTCCTCCTTTCTCTTCCTTAACAACCATATCTTAAACACCTGTGATCCCCAGGCAGGAACACAATTCCGAGGGCAAGTATCACTTTATAAAACGCTAAGTGAGTGCTTTTGAGTATTAAACTGTTTGTAAGGAGCAGGTTCTGTACACATCTCCCTGCTGGCACGTTACCTCCGCAATGGGGACAGCGCACAAGGACACTCCCAGCCCCACTCCCACCACGTGGTGCCACCGGCTGCTCACGCCCGAGAGGCAGCGCCTCCGGACACTGGCCACGACAGGGAGGCTTCGTCTGGAAATGCAAAAAACAGAGGTAAGCACAAGAAGTAACCAGCGTGCGGTGGGAAACAGGTATTGGAGAGCAGGGGAACACCTAGAAGCTGTGCTGGGTGCCCTGCTCTCTACTGAGCTTCTGTAATGCAGCTCTGTAATAGTGAATGGGTAAGTTTGGTTTCGATTCTGATGTATTACTCAACTGTAAGTGCAAGAAAAGCGTAACTAGCACATTATTAACCCTTTGAGAGTGCAAACGTATCTTCTCTGGCACCAACACACTGCAATATTGGAAAACGAGTTAAAAAGCATGCTTAAAAGTGGTGTGAGGTACATGCAGGTGAGGAGCATGGCTGGCAATAGTCTGCTGCATCCCAGCAGGGCCTCCTGTGGTCGGTTTCACTGACATCCCCCCCGTGTGCATGTGCCGGTGGGGTCAGCAGAAGAGCAGCACTCAGCCGTGAGGATTCTGGTGGTGTTCTGCTGTCCTCGTTTACGCTGTGGGCTCTTCACCTACAGCCCCTCAGCGGCGAGCGCTGTGTGGGTGCGGATGCGGATGAGG